GAAAGAGGTTTAGAGGTGGCAGGTTAGAGATTTGGAAAAGTAGAGTTAAAGGAAAAATAGGACATGATGATATATGAAAAATAACTCAGTCCTGTGGGATTTCTAGAACCATGAGAATTAAACTTTATTAAAGTGCAACTGCAATTAAATACTCCAGTTATGTTTAAGAATTTTAAATTGTAAAGATGGGTTGTTGAGCCTTCAGTAGTTATAGACTGAATCTCACTTCATCAAGGTTGAAAGGATGTCAGGATTGTGCTCTGGGTTATTCCAAATATTTTAAATGGAAGCCTGTTGCTACAGTGTGCAGAAAGGGTATGATAAATTTATTTTTAAAAACAAATTAAAGCAAATAATAGGTGTCTTTTGCTTTGCTACAGTTAGCCCAAGTAGAGAACTTCTATATAATGGAAATGTAAAGCATTAATTCTTTCTTTAAAATTTTGTTCTGTATTTATTTCCATATACTTCAATTTTAAGATTGAAGTATAGTTGATTTATAGTGTTTCTGGTGTATAAATCAAAGTGATCCTTTGATTCTTTTTTTTTTTTCAGATTCTTTTCCCTTATAGGTTATTACAAGATACTGAATATAGTTCCCTGTGCTATACAGTAGGTCCTTGTTGTAAGCATCAATTTTTGAAAGTTGTGAGTATATTTGAAATTTGTCCTCAGTGTTAGTAAAGGGTAACATTTTTCTGTAAATTTTACATGTTAGGTTTTCTGTTTTACAATATAGTGTGCTTGTGGGATGCAAATTAGTGCCATCTTCACAATTGAATTTGTAGTTGTAACTGAGTAGAGAAAATCAATAGGATAACAAACTACAACAGGTTATCTTGTTGTCTGCCATGGCTCTTACCATTTCCTGGTACAAAGCAAGTTCTGGCTAAATTATTTGGTTACTATCTGGCCTTTTTGCCTTAATGAACTGTGCTGCTGGTCTATTCATTGGCGAGGACTTTTTTTTTTGGCCTGGAAGCCTAAATGATCGTCCCCATACTTCTTTTCCTTGGTTCCCCTACTTCATCCTGCTTGTCTTTCTTGGGAGTTCTTCCCTCAACAGTAAGAGCTCCCTGATCCCTTCTATAATGCCATTCCAAGGGAAGTAAGTTCTAAAATGAAAAAGCTACTGAAAATGAAAAGAAAATGAGAGGTATCTTTAAGTTAATAAAACTCTTGCCCCTATTCACTTGTAATCAAATCTTTGTCTCAGAAGTTCCAGCCTCACATTGAGAGGCATAACTATGACCTTAGAATCCCTTTTTCCTACATTGAATTTTTCTGCTGCTGGGTGAGGTGGAGGAAGTGGAGACATGTATGTGTTGATGAAGTGAGAAGGAAAGACTTGGACAACCCATGAGGGGAGAGTAGTATCTGCTAAGATAGTTTAGGTGGCATTTTTATTTGTGTATATAAGTTGGTGTTTAATTTTTGTGTGTGTAAGTTGCTATATGTAAACAAGGTTAGCTGAGAATATGTCTATCTAGAAAACAACTTTATAGTGCTTTAGTCATTTTCTGTTGCATAAAATTTAAGATCTTCTCAAAGCACGTAAAAGCACTTCATAGTTTTTGTCTATGATCTTCACAATCAAGAAGCTCTTTTTCTTTTTCTGACTTATCTTCACTCTGGGGCAAAGTGAGAGTAGCATCGACATATATACACTACCAAATATAAAATAGTTAGCTAGGTGGGAAGCAGCCACATAGCACAGGGAGATCAACTTGGTGCTTTGTGATGACCTAGAGGGGTGGGATAGGGAGGCTCAAGAGGGAGGGGATATGGGGTATATGTATGCATATGGCTGATTCACTTTGTTGTACAACAGAAACTAACACAGTATTGTGAAGCAGCTGTACTCCTATAAAGATCTGTTTAAAAAAAAGAAGCTCTTTTTGTGATAGTTTCAAAAATGTATAATCCCTTAAAAAAGCTACTGTACCTTATTTTGTAAACTCAAATTAAGAATGTTTAGTTTTATATAGATATTCAAATATGGTTATTGTTCACATTGTTTTTCATTACTGAAGTGATAATGCCTGTTTGAATATTACTTATGTATATTTTGTGTTCCAAATGAATTTGCTGCAGGCATATCTGCTTAGGACTTTGGCATGATTTATGAAGAATATATAGACGTTTGTATAGTTCATTGAATCTTAGAGATGGGAGGGATTTGAAAGGCTTTTTTAGTCCTGGTTGCCCATCTAAAACAGAAACTCATCTTCAACCAACTCTTGACTTTTGACTCTTATTATTAATTTTTTTTTTTTTTTTCCGGTACACGGGCTTCTCACTGTTGTGGCCTCTCCCGCTGCGGAGCGCAGGCTCCGGACGCGCAGGCTCAGCGGCCATGGCTCACGGGCCCAGCCGCTCCGCGGCTTGTGGGATCTTCCTAGACCAGGGTACAAAACCGTGTCTCCTGCATCGGCAGGCGGACTCTCAACCACTGCGCCACCAGGGAAGCCCTTATTAATTTTTTTTTAACATTCTTTTTCATATTCTTTTCCATTATGGTTTATCACAGGATATTAAATATAGTTCCCTGTGCTATACAGTAAGACCTTGTTGTTTATCCATCCTATATATGCTAGTTTGCATCTGCTAATCCCAAACTCCCACTCTACTTCACCCCTCCCCTAACCCTGTCCCTCTTGGCAACCACCAGTCTATTCTCTATGTTCTTGAGTCTGTTTCATAGATATGTTTATTTGTGTCATATTTTAGATTCCACATATAAGTGATATCATATGGTATTTGTTATTCTCTTTCTGACTTACTTCACTTAGTATGATAATCTGTAGCTGCATTCATGTTGCTGCAGATGGCATTATTTCATTCTTTTTAACGGCTGAGTAGTATTCCATTGTATATATGTACCACATCTTCTTTATCCATTCATCTGTCAATGGACATTTAGGTTTCCATGTTGACTCTTACAAAGAATTTTTAAAAAATTTTTTATTGGAGTATGGTTGCTTTACAATGTTGTGTTATGGATTCTTAATTGTAGCCATTGGTAGGGAATGTCTACTCTTTCTAGGCATCCCATTCTATTTCTGACTAGTTCTAACTATTTGAAAATTGTATCCTGAAACTCTCTTTCTCTGTTAAATCAATCATTTTTCATAATTTTGTTCTTCTAGAGCTAAATCCTCTTCAACAAAAATACTCTTTAGTGGTTTGAAGATACATCATGAGTCTTATTTCATCTTATTTATGCGAAGCCCAGTTTTTGTTGAATTGTTAGTCATATTGTAGGATTTCCCTGTCCTCATCACCTAATGGACATGTTTTAGTTCCTCGGCTTTCAAATGTTTTTGACTATAACCCAAATAAAGAATATATTTCATATCCTAGCTCAACATACATGTAGTATGTAGTTTTAATACATATATGCAACTGAGACAGAAATTTTATAAGACAACATACCTTTACATTGACACTTTCTGCTCTTTTTCATTTTTTTAAAAAAGGTGGTGTTACCTATTAAATTGATTTTATCACTCCCTGATGGATTTTAGCCTGTAGTTTGGAAAACATTGTTCTAATTTGTTCATGTTGCAGAACTGAAATAAGGAGTTTCCAAAAGCTGTATGTTAGGACAGTCATTGCTAAAACAGGTTTTACCTTTATTAACTCAAAGAGAATATTCTGATGGTGGTTATAAAGTAAAACTAACCAGGATTATCAAGTTCTTGGTAATGCATACAATACAATTGATACATGCAACTATTATTTTTATCCTTAGGTGGCGACAGACAAGGTTGCAGGAAAGTTGAGTTCTACTCTCTCATGGGTGAAGAACACAGTGTCACATACAGTCAGTCAGATGGCCAGTCAGGTGGCAAGTCCATCTGCTTCATTACACACTACATCCTCGTCTACCACACTGTCAACGCCAGCCCTTTCACCATCTTCCCCGTCACAGTTGAGTCCAGACGACTTAGAACTCCTGGCTAAACTGGAGGAACAAAATAGGTAAGTGAGGTTGCTTGGGTTTTCTTTCTTTTAATTACCATACAAACTCAATCATTCATATATGTATATATGCCATAATCAAAATTTTAAATATTTGTTCAAATTAAGAATGTTTAGGGGAGTTCCCTGGTGACCTAGTGGTTAGGATTCTGGGCTTTCACTGCTGTGGCCCGGGTTCTAGCCCTGGTCAGGGAATGAGGTCCCGCAAGCTGTGTGGCGTGGCCAAAGAAAAAAGAAAAATGTTTGGTTTTTGGCTCCTTGTTTTTCAAAGCTAGTTAACAAAAGTATTCAAGTCTTTTCTGGAGGAGTTGGCCTTAAAACTAAAGTTGGACTAAAATTTTCTTCTGCCTTGGACAGCTGTAGAGATTTGTTTTCTTAATATAGCAAATTATCTAAAATTGTCCTGAATTTTAGAAAAGATTTTTAAGGCAAATAAAACTACCATTTTTGTTTTTTAAACTCTCTAAATAGTCCCCTTTGGTTAAGCTGTAGAATTATTTAATTTAGGATGGATATCTGATTTGTGGTTTAGAGTGGGAAATCTCTTCATAAATTTATTCATGGATGGCAAAGTATTCTTTTCTTTTAATGGTGTGATATAGAATACTTGTTGACTCTGTTATTAATGTGTACTGTGGACCCTGGGTGCCCCTTCACTGATATTACTATCAGAAGTTCTCTAGGGCATCAGCTATTAAAGAGTTATTGGAAGAGCATCCTTTTACGTTCAGTCAAGATATGTACCACCACTGGCTTTAAGGGTAATAAGAGAGATAATTTCTAACAGCTCTTTTGATATATAATGTACATAATAAAGTACACATACTTAAGGTGTACAATATGATAAGTTTTGACATATGTATATACCTGTGAAATTATCAACCAAATCAAGAAAATGAACATATCTGTTATCTGCCTTTCTATCCCCAGATAGCCGTTGATTTGCCTTTGGTCACTATAGATTAGTTTGCATTTTCTACAGTTTTATAGAAATAGAATCATAGAGTATGTACTCTTTTTTAATGAGTTATTTCACTAGCATAATTTTTATGTTGTAGCACATATGAATACTTAATTCCTTTTTTTTGCTTAGTAGTATTCCATTGTATGGATATATTACAGTTTACGTACTCACCTGTTGTGAAATGCTATAAACATTTGTGTACAAACCTTTGTATAGATTTATGCTTTCATTTCTCCTGGGTAGATACCTAGGAATGGAATGGCTGGTTTATATGGTAGGTGTACATTTAATTGTCGAACTGTTTTCCAAAGGGCCTATAGTTTTCCACATCCTCATCATCAGTGTATGAACATTTCAGTTCTACATGCTTACCAATGCTTGGTACAGTCAGTCTTTTAATTTTAGCCATTCTAATAGGTATTTGTATCTTGTGGTTTTAATTTTCATTTCCCTAATGGTGTTGAGCATCTTTTTATGTGCTTATTTGCCATTGATATGTCATCTTTGATTAAAGATGAAATTTTTGCCCATTTAAAAAAATTAGGTTGCCCATTTAAAAAAATTAGGTTGTTTGCTTTCTTATTATTGTGTTTTAAGAGTTCTTTATATATTTCAGGTGCAAGTCCTTTAACCATATATATGTTTTTCAAATATTTTTTTGCAGTCTGTGGCTTATTCTCTTAGCATTATCTTTTGAAGAGCAAAAGTTTTAAGTTGTGATTAAATCCAATTTGACGTTGTTCTTTTATGGACTTTGCTTTTGATGGCTCAAGGTCACACAGGTAGACTCCTGTGTTAGAGAAGTTTTATGTTTTTAAGTTTTAGATTTACTGTTGTACATTTGAGTTAATTTATTTGTATGAAACAGAGCATAGATCAAAGTTCAGTTTTTGAATATGCATGTTTAATTGTTTTTGTATTTGTTGAAAAGACTGTCCTTTCTCCACTTAATTACTTTTGTACTTTTGTCAAAAGTCAGTTGTCTGTATACTTTATGTGCTTATTTCTGGATTCTTTTTCTGTTCCACTGATCTATTTGTCTACTTTAATGTTAGTATGACACTGTCTTGATTATTGTAGCTTTCTAATAAGTCTTGAAATCAGATAGTGTTAATCCTCCATCTTTGTTCTTTTGACTATTTTTGCTGTTTATCATACCCTTGTGAATTTTACATGAAGCAATTTGTACAAAAACTCTTGCTGAGATTTTAATCAGAATGATGTTGAATTCCTAACAGTATTGCCTTCCACCCATGAACACAATATATCTCTCATTTACTTATTACTTGTGCATGGTATTGTTTTTGTAAATTTAATTTTTGATTGTTCATTGCTCCCATATAGAAATACAATCATTTTTCTTTTGTCATTCGTGTATCCTGCTGCCTTGATAAATTCACTTGTTCTGGTAGGTTTTGTTGTTTTTTTACATTCCCTTAGATTTTGTACATAGATGAGCATGTGGTCTGTGAATAAAAGCATGTTTGTGTCTTCCTTTATAATATGGATGCCTTTTATATCTTTTTCTTGCCTTATTGCAATTGACTAGTACCCCCAGTACAAATTTGAGTGTAAGCGATGAACAGATAGCCTTGTTTTCCTGATCTTAAGGGGAAAGCATTAAATATGAAGTTAATTGTAGGTTTCTGTAGATGACTTTTATCAGATTGAAGAAGTTCCTTTCTATTTCTCATTTGCTGAGAGTTTATAAGAAACAGAAGTTGGAATTTGTCAAATGCTTTTCCAGAATCTTTTAAAATGATTACATCGTTTTCCTCTTTTAGTTTAATATGGCAAATTACATTGATTTTTAAATGTTAAACCAACTTTGCATTCCTAGGATAAACCCCACTTAGTCATTATATACTGTCTTTATAAAGTATTGTTTACTGTCTTTATAAAATATTGTTGGATTTGACATGCTAAAATTTTGTTTGGAATTTTTGCATCTATGTTCAGGAGGGAAATTGGTCTGTAGTTGTCTTCCGATGTCTTTGACCTTTATCTGTAATGTCTTGTGTCCTTGTAATGTCTCTGTGATCTTTCCTCTTTTCTAATATAAGTGTTTAGTGCTGTATGTTTCTCCTAAAGCTCTGCTTTAGCAACATCCCTTTAAATTTTATGGTCCTGAGTGTGGTCTGTTTTGATAAATATTTTATGTGCACTTGAGAAGATTGTGTATTTAGCTGTTGTTTGGTGGAGTATTCTATAAATGTTAATTGATTCAAATTGATTGATAGTGCTGTTCAAGTCTACTCTATCTTTGCTGGTTTTATGTTTACTTGTTGTATCAGATATTGATGTCAGATGTTGAGAGAGGAGTATTGAAACCTCCAACTATAATTGTGGATTTATTTCTGTTTAAATTTTATCAGTCTTTGTTTCATGTAATTTGAAGTTTTATTATTGTGTATATAAACGTTCAGAATTGTTATATCCTGTTGTGAAATGCACTCATTATCCCTAGTAATATTGTTTGCTTAGAAATCTACCTTATCTCATCTAGTCACTGTAGCTTTCTTTTGAATAATGTTAAAATTTTATATATTTTTCCATCCTTTACTTTTATTCTATATTTTTCTTTATCTTTAAAGTTTGTCAGTTAGACAGCATATAGTGGCTCTTGCTTTTTAAAATATAATCTGGCAATCTTTGCCTTTTGATTATGGTAATTAGATCACTTTTTAAAAAAATTATGACAAAATTTTATTTCTTGCTCACGTTAACGTTCATCTCAAACTGCAGGCTGAGTACATTTTTGCTGCACACTTCATTTCTGGACCAGTGACCAGCCCCTATGCAGGATAAATCAGACTCATGGCAAATAGTGGAAATATATCTTAAAACATCTGCTAGAGAGTGATACACATAACTTCAACTCATAGTTTATTGGCCAAAGCAGATCACATACTCAACACTCCTTATAGAGTGAAGTGGGGATTAGAATCTTCTTGCTGGATCTTAGAAAATATATGCTTATTATTATTTCAGCACCTTTTCCAGTATTTTTATTGTATTGTTATTGTGCTCTTAATTATTCACATACCATAAAATCCATCCCTTTAAAGTGTACAATTTAGTGGTATTTTTAGTACACTCACAAAGTTGTGCAAACATTACGGCTATCCAATTTCAGAACATATTTATGACTCCCCAAAGAAGCTTTGTACCCATTAGTCTCCCCTTTCCTCCCTCCTTCCTGCTGCTGGTAACCACTAATCTACTTTCTGTCTCCATGGATTTGCCTATTCTGGACATTTCATTGGTAGTCTTTTGTGACTAGCTTCTTTTACTTAACATATTATTTTCTAGGTTTTGAGGAAAATCGATCATTTACATTTAATGTAATTCTTGATATGGTTATGTTTATATTTGTCATCTTGTTTTACTGTTCTTTATCTTTTAATTTTTCGGCCTTTTGACTGAATGAAATGTTGTTTATGCTTCTGTTTATCTTTTGTTGATTTATTGGCTATAACTCTTTGTTATTTTGCTGGTTGCTTTACGGTTCATAGTATATATCCTTAACTAACTTAGCACAGTATGCCTTTAAGAGATCTCATACCATTTCACACGTAGTGTAAGAACTTAGAATAGTACATTTCCATTTCTCCTCTCCAATCCTTTGTGCTAGTTTTATCATGCATTTTGCTTTTGTATGTGTTATAAACCCCATACTACGTTATTATTTTTGCTTCAGTAGTCAATTATCTTTTAAATGAGATTGAAATAATAAGAAAAAAATCTTGTATTTGCCTACATAGCTTCCATTTCTGGTGCTCTTTGGTTTTTTTTTTTGTGGTACGTGGGCCTCTCACTGCTGTGCCCTCTCCCGTTGCAGAGCACAGGCTCCGGATGTGCAGGATCGGTGGCCATGGCTCACGGGCCCAGCTGCTCGGCATGTGGGATCTTCCCAGACCAGAGCACGAACGCGTGTCCCCTGCATCGGCAGGCGTACTCTCAGCCACTGCACCACTAGGGAAGCCCTCTTTGGTTCTTTTTTAGCTCCAGATTTCCAACGGATAGAATTTTCCTT